AAACTACGCGTAGTAGGCTATTAATATGAAATAGGGAACCAGTTAATGTAATTCTAAAGCTCATAATAAAAACTATCTTGATACGCCAATTTTTTCGGGAGTTATCGTGACCACATACAAAATCAACATCCGACGTCCTAGTAAAAATTTTTTCACTGTTTTTTTTTTCAAATTTAGTAATATTAAATGATGATTTTTTAGAAAATAGAAAATGGATTGATTCGAGTGTTTTCTTCATATACAGCTACTCATATTATTGTATAAGTGCAATATGGTTATGATAGAAGCATTTAAAGAATACAAAATTGTTTGACCTTGACATGTCGAGTGTAATGCACTACCTCTAAAACGAGGGCGGCACTGAAAATTTCGGGAATCAAAGAAGTGACACAACATTACTATTTAAAAATGTATTTATTGCTTTTCGAAGTATTCTCCGTGTTTGACACATTTTTCCATACGACCAATCAATTGAAGCAACCATTCCATTCGGAAGTTGGGGTCTCCAAAATGGCCGTTTTGTAGGCGTCCACAGCTTCTTCAGGTGATGAAAATCTCTGTCCACGCAATTTATTCTTTATTTTAGGGAAAGTATAGAAATCATTAGGGCTTAGGTCGCGGCTGTACGGCGGATGGTCTAATAATTCTATGTTTTCTTGCTCTAAAAACTCTTTTGTTCTGTGTGCGGTGTGAGAACTCGCATTGTCGTGATGGAGGATGATGCGGCGGTTGCAGTTCTCTTTACGGAGTTCAGAAACGACCTGTGGCAAACAAATGCTAGCATACCATTCTGCATTAACCGTTCTTTGTCCCTCAAGAGGAATAGTCGTAACATGGCCGGTTTTGGAGACAAACGTGGCCACCATTTTTTTTGCAACACTCCGTGAACGAACAATTTTTGTTGGCTTTAACTCATTTTCGAACACCCAAACTCGTGACTGGTTTTTGTTTCGGGTTCGAACGCGTATATCCAGGATTCGTCACCTGATACGATGTTGTATACAGCATTTGAGGATCCTGCGTGGAATCTTTCGAGAGTTCTGACGCACCAAATAACGCGAGCCGCTTTTTGCTCTTCACAGAGCGAATGCGGTATCCATCGGGAAAACAACTTTTTTACACCTAATTGTTCATGCAAGATTATTTGTATTTGACTCATGCCAATGTCTAAAGTTGCTTGAATTTCGCGATATGTCACGTGTCGATCTTCCTCAATCAGCTTACGCACAGCATCAACGTTTTCTTGGGTGACTGCAGTTTTTGGACGACCTTGACACGTCCACGTTGAAATTCAGCAAACCAGCGATAAATTGTGGTTTTGGATGGGGCTTCAATACTCAATAACTTTATTGCATTCCATAGGTTACAAAAGGTGTTACATAGTTTTGTGGTATCTCCATGGGCCCTGATGAGCACAGCAATATTATGAAGGAAGAACATTTATTATTATAATTATTGCTATTTTTAAATAATTATTTAATATTAACATTTATTCTATTATTTAAACATACACACAATGAATTTTAAATACGGTTATTTTAATTGTTATAATTTATTAATGAATTGATTTTGATATTTAAGGTATTATTATAATTGGTGTAATTAGCACAGTTGAATTTTTATTAAATTATTTGAATCATTTTAAATTTTATTTGAATTTTTTATTGTAATTTATTTAGTAGGATGGCATTTCATTATTATCTAACATATTTTTATTTACATATCCATATTATATTATATATTTATCATCTAAAAATTCAGAAGTATTATAGTAACACTTATTTATAAGCAGTTGCTTTAATTTTTTTACGAATTGTTTTTCGTCCTTAATGCTTTTTATATATTCGGGTAATTTATTATATATTTTTATAGACATGGCGAATGGGCTGGAAGAATGAGATTTTAGTTTTGAAATTGGCAGCACTAGTTTGTTTCTTTATCTTAGATTCCTAGACATGATGTCATCTCGTTTTGTGTAGAAACTTGGATTTTTTTTGACAAATTTGCATAGTTCCAAAATATAGATAGAGGGCAGGCTTAAAATGTTATACTTCTTGAAGTAAGGCTTACAGCTTTCTGTGTTTTGTCGGCTTCATCACCAAATGCAGAAATCATCCGGTCAACACACTGTTTTTGTGTTAAACTACTTCGAAAGTCATAATAAATCATCGCTCTTGAATTTTCTCGAGTCAATTCCATTTTCTCAACGACTAAACAAGTTTGATAAAACCTTGTGGCAAGATCGAGAATTTTTTTAAAATAAATAAATGGTATTCGATTTTTAAAACCAAGGAGTTTTCAATTAAAAAAAAAATTTATATGACAGGAACAGTGGAAATATTCTATTCCCGATACTTTTAGTGCAGCCCTCGTAACGCTTTGCAAGACGAGCAAAGTGAATATTTAGTAGTAGTAGTGGATTTAAAAAATTACATTTGACACGCAAAATTTGATTTTCCTACGTCGACAAAATATCTCATTTCGTTCAATTTAATCCTGGTAATTACGGTTCATACTATAAATAATCATTGGGATAGAGATGTGTCTGTGTGATACTGTTTTCTATAATTGCTTTTTTTTACTGATTTTCTCTCAGCGCTACGTTCGGAAATGTGGTGGGATAGTAAATATTTAAAGATTTTTTGACAAATCTTAGATAAAATTAAACATACAATAGTTAAAATTTTACGTCTGTAAAGCTGGAATAGTCATTTGGGCAAAAACACTAAAATTTTTGCTTAAATATATTTAATGCTCATTTAGTGCTAATTAAGTGCTAAAAATTTAACAAAATTGCCACAACGAAATGTGTCATGTAGTGACGGCTATGCTATGGGAACTAGTGAGAGACCTCTGGTACAATCGTAATTCGGCCTGCCAAGCGTGACATTCATTGATTCAAGTGGTTGGAGGTTCATGCTCATGGTTAATATCAGTTGAATTTTAAAGGCTGAAGAAGATAATAATAAAATATTTTTTCCGAAACGTTATTAATATTTTTTCATAGCATAATCATCACAACGGGACGAAAATGTTTTTAATGCCCAATGTATCCATCAAAACATAACCCTAAAGTTGTGATTTTGAATCTCATTTTGGCATAGAAATAGAACACTAATACATATAGAGGGTCCCTCTTTAGAGTGTAAATTTCTCTTTAGCAATAACGGAAAAATGGTCAGTATAGCATTACTTACGCTAAGTACTGCGACCTATATCGATCGTTAACTTTTTACGATTTCTATGTAAAAGGAGCGTGAAGTGATCGCGCGGCCGCTTACGTACCTGACCCATTTGCCTAATTTAGAACTTCCCATGTTCAAACATGTGGTTTTAAATGTACAACAGATAAACGACGACTCAGCAGGTGTATTTGGACTAAGTTTCAGTCCCAACGAGATTCGTCGCTAACTGCCCACGTACGAAACGGAGACGAGACCCGTTTAAAGCTTTAGAAAGCCTTGTCCCTAGAGTCTGTCATAGTGATCCGTATACTGTAAACAACTAAAAGCTCGTGTTACTACTGTACAAAAATGAAAATAAAGAGGGCAGAACATCTCAATACCGTTTAATAAGTAATATTAGAAAAAGTTAATTCAAAATTAAATTCACTCACACCACGATACATCATTATCATCAGCATTACAGCCCTTCACAAGTTCACTGCTAAACATAGGCCTCTTCCAAGGAATGACACAATTCACGGTCCCGAGCCAACTGCTTCTATCGACTTCCTCTATGTCTTACCAGATCTCATTAGTAATAAATATAGTAGTAGTGGTAGTTTATACATCTAACTAATAACTTTTCTCGTTGTATATTTCTAGCATTTTTTCCCCAAATGTGTACCTATTTTCTTAGGACCTTACTTTACTTTAAATCACTTTAAAATGACAAGGCCGCAGATCATGTAACTAAAGCTCATTATAATCTGGAACTTAGGTTGTTAACAACAAATCTGCACAAACTATAATTAGTGATTCTTGTACCAATTAAGTTTGTTTCTATCAACTCAAACGGTATACCTAGCAAACGGTTGTGCATTAACATAAATTCTAAATTATCCGCAATAGAGGTACCAAGCACTACTCGTAATTAATAATAAATGACCTTCACAGATCCAATAAGCGTATGAATTATAAGTTTCTAATAAAACTTTAATGTTTCGATAGAACTTTAAATGTGTTACTCAACTCAGTAATTGGCTCATGAAATAAGGCTTTTCCAAGAGAAAAAAAAGCATAGTCGGAGGAAGAATTATACCGTGTTTTGCCTTTACTAATTTTTTAAGGGTAATTTGTAGAAAAATCGAGGTATATTATGGTTCCAATACCATTTGGTAAGTTTTTAGTTTTGCCGTACGGTATTAATTTAATGTATGATGAGAGATAGCTGTTTTAGCTTAGGTATAAGATTCTTAACAATAATTAACCTAGAAAAAGTTTTATATAATATTATAAATAGCTAGTTGAGCATTTTGATCATCCACTTGCTAATCGCTGAGTGGATCCTTATGTTTTAAACGACAACGGCAACGATGCCATGCACTTACGGCGACCTGACGGGCCCCTTGTGTCTATTCCATCTTAATGACGATATAAAAAATCTAGAAAACTTTTAACACATTAAATTAAGGCTTACGTATATGCCTAAAAGATATATGTTTTATCTACTAAAACACTTTTCCTTTTTTTTTCAAATCCATTTGTAACTTTAAAGACTGTATTATCCACACCAGAAAACTCTGCCACATTTGTACTAGAGTTAGTGTAAAAAAATTACAAAGTACAAACAATTATTCCTAGTATATTAAAAATTACATATGTATCAAAAACTTAATATGACTTTTGAGTATTGACAGCAAGTGTGTTACGAAACTTCTACAAAACAAAACCACTATATCCTCACGAAACACACAACTGAGTGACATATTGCCTTGTTAAATACATATACCTGCAAAAAAATTAGGGAGTCATGTCATGCAATCGAAATATACTCACATATATCGAGTGCGATTAAACGCATTGCCCGGACGAGCAGCAGCAGGGCTACGATACGCGCCACCATCTCGCCGAGTCGCCGCGCTCACTTCGCCATTTCTACCGACACCGCAAGTCTTAAACAATCAAAACATACAAGTTTAATTATGTATTATTTCAAAAATAAGTGTCGCTATACAAAATTTAATTTTAAATTACTAAAAAAAAATAGAACAGAAATCTTTAAAATAGCCTAGCTTTCTGTAATTAACAAAACTTCAAGATTTTGACCACCACTTTATGGTTTCTTAGTCGACTATTAGGCAGTAGACCTCCTTCTTATTACTGTGTATTTCGGGTGAGTATATTCCTAAAGTGGAGTGCAGAAGAGCTAAAGAGATGGTCTGCACCAGCCAATTAGAGTGATCAAATCATTAAGGTAAAAAATATGCGACTACAGCAAGCAGTACACAACGCTTGCGACAAAACAGTGCTAGAGAGCAGTGCGAGCTCTTTGCTTTTATCTGTGTCATAATAATCAGGATGGAGGAGGAAACGGTTAAGTGAATGAATAATCCTCTTCTAATCAATTTCTGCCAAAAAGTAGGTACGCACCATTGTTTTTGATGTTAAAGAAACTAATATAAAAAAGGAATTCGATCATTGCATGTGTAGCCTCTGTTTTGTTTGGAGTTAACTCCAAGCGTCCAAGAGTTGAGCCACCTGCTATTGAAAAACTGCAAGCATTGTGGTTATTTCATTACCGTTAAACACTTTTAACGATAATTTTTTAGACACTTTTAACGATAATTTTCTATCAGTTTTTTAACATGTTCTTATTTATTTTATTGGCATAATATATAATATTTAATATGAATTCAAACTGAAAGTAAATAAAATTTTAAAGCATCTGATGTGATGATGCATCATCGTAATTACAGCCCATCACAAGTCTTCTGCTGAAATTTGAGCTCCCTCAAGGAATGCCGCAAAGCAAGGTCTTGAGCCACGTGAATCCATCGACTATCTGCATCTCTTATCAGGTCTTCATTGCATCTAATGGGCGTGGGGGGGGGGGGGGTCCATAGCACTCTGGTCACTCTGTGTTGAGGATATCCGTAGAAGAATTCTGAATACGAGGCCTATCACGCAGAAAACCCTACCCAGAGAGGTGTACTCTGCAATCGGATAAGTTTCGTACTCCAAACACATCAGCTATTAATATATATCCCAAATTTCGATGGAACCAAAGTCTTTACCATGGTATATTTACGCAGAAACCGGCTTGTTCGGGAGATTGTATAACAGAAATGAGCTTATTTTTACGCAAGAAAGAGTGCGCGCTTGTTCCATAATTTATTAAATTTTGGCCTTAGTCAACAAGAGAGCTATGTTTATAAAAGACTTCGTATGGTGATTTATAATGAAACCCCATAGCGTAGTGTAGTACTGTAACTGATTCAATGAGTTTAGGCGAGGTTGTAGCAAAATCACTGAAGATATGACCTGCAACGGCAAGGACTATGGATAACTTTACTGAATTGTACATAATATATTATTGAATAAGCCCTATGCGCTGTACCCACAAATTACTTAAATTTTGGTAATGGTTGACGAAATGCTTGTAGTCTTTCGACAACTTTTTTTTAATATGGCTTTATTTGTTGGTTGAAAAATTTACACTTTAGTGTCACTCTCAAACCTTTTTTCCCTACAGTTGTTATTTCTATGTTTATATTGCCAGCTATTTAGCCAGTCCAGGCCATACAAGAGGTTAATGAATGCAGTGAAGGACTTTGCTTTGAGGTTAAGTGAGAGATACAAGTGTCGTAGTTTTTTTCGCATAAATTTATTGTTACATTAAGTGTTGTTGAGTCACTATAGTAAATCTTTTTGTCTTGGTGGTGGTTTTAACATCTGTAGATTAGTAAGTGTTTTTAATTGTGCCGTTTTTATGTAAATTTTAGTTATAGAAATATAATGGAGGACGAACCTCCCGATCCCGAAAGGGTTCACAATGACTCCTTCACTTTACCCGTTGATAATGTAGAATCTATTAACCGTAAACGCGCCCAAATAAGTATTGGGTCTGTCAATCCACAAAAAATAGTTATTACTGATCCAAACCAACAGTTTCCGTCAATACAATCCTCATATACCCACATCCTGATTTTATTAATAAGAGAGTAAAGTACTCTCAAGATGATACCGCGCCGTTTCTAGTTCACGTAAGTAAAACGTCAAATGATCAAGTGTCCGGAGTAACTCTCAAACCAATTAAATTTGGTCACTTTCTGTATCATAATAACATTAAAAATATAGTTTGTGACGGCGTCAAAAAAGTTGGACGAAACAGGATATCAGTTGAGTTTAAAACAGCAGTGGATGCAAACACTTTTATTGATCACCCAGCTCTTCAGACGTCTACATATGAAACAACTAACCCTTCATATAATATCACTCGTATGGGGCTAGTCAGACAAGTTCCTATAGAGTGGACATTACAACAGTTAATAGCAGCTATAGAAATTCCCTCTGGATATGGTACTATAATCAAAGCTCGCCGACTCAATAGACGATCAGTGAGTGACAGCAATAGCGTTTCATGGATTCCAACTCAAACAGTAGTTCTAACTTTTTCTGGACAAAAACTTCCACCACATATTTACTGTTTTTACACCTCTATGCCAGTAGAAAAATATGTTCTGCCACTCATTCAGTGTCATAAATGCTGCAATATTTGGCCATGTTACTTTTCAGTGCCGATCATCCCCTCGCTGCTTTATATGTGCACAGAATCATAAGGTTTATCATGTACTAGGCAAACTCCTACTTGTCTATTCTGCTCAGGACCCAGCACAGCAAAATACCATACCTGCCCTGAAAATCTAAGGCAATAATCTACTAAACTAGTTATGTCACAAGAAAACATATCATATTTAGAAGCTTCAACTAGATTCCCTCTGGTACGAAGATCCTTTGCTGACGCAACAAGAAGTCCACCTCATAATTCTTCTCATCAGACCCCTTATCCCATAAATGACAGTATTTCAGCTCCTTTGGCTCAGCCTTCACAATGTACATCATATAAAAAAACAATCTTTATTCCTCAACGTACTTACAGACAATCATCAAATTCTGGATATGATAAACCAGTCCATCAGGCAATTGTTGAGAATCCTCCTTCTTCCCTTCCAAATGGGTGTGCTTTACTGGGGAATGACAACATCTCAAATAATGATAACTTCATCGAACTTATGGCATCAATGTTAATTAACATGATTTCCCGTTTCAGTGACGCAGAACTTCCCCTCAGTTTACGTCATAAACTTACTCAGCTTACTTCAATAACTAGCAGCATTTACAATTCTACAATGGAATTGTCGGAGCATCAAACATAAAAAGAATGAACTTATCTTTCTTATTAACAAACTAGCTGTGCCCCGCGGTTTCACCCGTGTCATCACGTGTCCGAGGTGCGCGACATGACCTAGTTCAAGCATTTTATAACGGCTAGGGTTTAGACGTCGTTCGCGCACCCAGCCAAGTATTATTTTAATTTTTCATTATCTCTTAAACTATGCCCAAATAACATGGTATAAAGAACAAAGTTTATCTTCATAAAATTGTCTTGATGATAAAGTAACTTTCGTTCGTAAGGATAAATAGGCCATGCTTAATAATAACGCTCATAAATCACTTTTAAATTTTCAATATTTTTTTGTCACAAAATACCAAATTATGGCTTATGTATAAGAAATAGACATATGGTATCGCGAACTTTTTTTTATACGGAGTAAAGGTCTATATTTTTCTAGAACATTGTATTTACGTATCCCTAACGATAACACCAGCGTACGCGGATAAATCATTTCGGGAGTGCTCTTTCTTCTGACTTGCTTAACAAATATCCATATTTAAGGCTACCTGAGTTATATAGCTTAATGCTAGATAGTCTATACTATTCCACATGTATCTGGCTATAATATACAAAAAGAATTTTTCAAATCGGACTTATAGTTCCAGAGATTAGCGCGTTTAAACAAACAAAAAACTCTTCCGCTTTATTATATTAAGTATACTTAAATCTATAGATTTAGTCCACCTGTTCTTGCCATTCAGGAGATGTGGCTTAGACCTGACTCCCAATTTAGGATCTCAGGTTATTCATGTCTTCGGGGATGATAGGAACGATGGACATGCTGGTTCCTTTATACTGATGTCAAAAAAAATTACATATGCTTCTATACCTCTTCCTTCCCACAGCTCCTCGATTAATGCTGTTGCAGTCAAGGCTCTCAACATATCTTTTCTGTCTATATACATTCCTGATCCTAATGTTACCATCTTAAATGAACTTTTTAATCTTATTTCTTGTCTAACTCCCCCTTTTGTTATCATGGGAGATTTTAATATTCACCATACTTCATGGAGCTCACATCACTGCGATTCTCTATCATCTACGTTTCTAGATATGATAGACGACTTAAATCTTTGCATCCTTAATGATGGTTCTCCTACCCGCCGTGTTTCACCTTCTCAGAATGTAAGAAGTGTAGTGGACTTGAATTTTTATTCTCCTGGCTGAGTTTCCCTTCAATCATGGAAAACATTACCAAATTCACATGGTAGTGATCACTATCCAATTTTTATCACATCTGCTGACTCTACAAGAGCAAATTCTGAATTCAACCGTAAGTTAAAATATAATTTATCAAAGGCAGACTGGCATTATTATTTTTCTGTTTTAGATCAAGCAACATCAGCAATCCCTTCTTTGCATCATGAAAATGTACATTCAGTCTATACAGAATTCAATAATACATTATTATTTTCTGCCAATAACACTATTCCTTTAAAACAACCCTACAGAAGCAATTTGGCCACACCTCCTTGGTGGGACCAGGATTGCACATCTGCTTGCAAAAAAAGGAAAGAGGCTGAACAAAAATACTCTCTATCAATGATCATTGAAAACTACATTTCCTATAAACAAATAGCAGCTGAAACAGTGAAATTGCTATCTCAGAAGAAAAAAAACGGCTGGCATAGGTTTTGTTCTACTTTATCTCCTTCCACACCTTCTTC